TTATGACCATGAAATATTGTTGTAATGCTTGATGTGCTGTTTTCTTTACTTTTTTTTTCTTTTTTCTTCTCTTCTTTTTCCTCTACTTCTTTTTTCTCTTCATTTTATTTATTTTTTTTTCATTTTTCTCTACATTGAAAATCAATAAACATATTTCTAAAAAAAAAAAAAAAGATTAACAGTGTTAAGTCTCCATTGTCTAGACTGAGCCTTTGCTTGGGGAGAAGGAGCAATAGTTCCACACCCATCGCTATGGGCGGGCCATAGGGGGCCTGGCCCGCCCCCAAAAATGCTTGTGCCCCCCCACTTGAGGCACAGATCTCTTAAAAAAAATTACTTTAATTCTTATTTTATATTATCATAGTAGCTAATTTTGTGTTGAGAAATACTAATGTTGTATTCTTTATCATTAAAACATTAAAAATATAAAGAAACAATGGTGTGATTTTGTTTGATTGATGGGAATGTACACTGCAACAGCCTATCACGGCCTTACTGAAAAGAAAGTTACGCTATGTACGTGACGTAGCCTACGTCAATGTAGCCACTCAACAGTAACCGCGCATTTTTGAAAGTGAAGCTGGATGAGTTTTCACCGGCTTACTATTACATTTCTAGTTCATCATGGATATTTGTAAGTGGTTGAAAAGCCCACCAACAGTCTCCTCTGCCAAATCGGATACGACACCGACGCCTCCTGATGTCGTTAGAGAAGGAGACCCTGGACGACAGTCTGAGCCCGTTGCTAGTAGCTCCGTGGAGCCCGACCCTGGGCCTGGCAGGACCTGCAGCGGCCATGGAGCGGAGGCTATCAGCAGGTCAAGTGCAACCGCGACTGGGGCAGTATTTGGGCCACAACTGCCTGTTGGATCAGTGGGTGTGAGTGACCTCGGCACGGACAAACCCAAACAGGTTGTGTTGAGGAAATATCCAGGCAAAATGTTAAAAACTTTAGGAGCTTCCACAGCAATGTGTGAAAACTCATTTTCCACGCTCAAAAGCGTCTTCTCAGAGCATCGGCGCAGTATGCTGCACAGACGCAAGGCCCAGCTGATTCAGCTTGCTTTTGAAAAGGACCTCACTCACAAGTTTAAGTCCGAGTGGAAGGATACGTTGATGAGGAGGTTCAGCTCAGAGAAACGCCACCTCCCGCTGTACTGACAGGAGGGACTGGAGAGAGGAAAGCGCTGCCTCCACCCAAAGTACCAGTAGGTTTAATGTGTGTGTGCGTGTGTATGTGCGTGCGTGTGTCTGTGTCTAATGGCAATGCATATCCCTCTGTTCACTGCTTTAAAATGCAATGTTTGAGAGATGCTTCTGGTGTTACATCTAATATGTTATATAGTCAAGTGTTTTATGGATATTCATAACATTGCTTCTATGTAATGTATTGCTTTAAACTATGAGGACTGATGTTGTCGGCTATACCTGGTCATATTGCTGTTGGTTATGTTTAACGTGATGATTACGTGATGCGCGAATACAGTATAGGATTATTAAAAATATACGTATTGTAGGTTAATAATAATTGTGCCCTCCCATGCATTTCATATGCCCCCCTTAAGACAGAGGTCTGGCGACGGGTCTGAATAGTTCTATGGGGAAATCTGTGTATAAGTGGATTCAACATACAATTAAAATCACCACCTACAATCACTGTATCAGCTCTCATTTCTGCATGGTCTAAAAAAGCTTTGGAAATAAAATCTGATGGATGAGCTGGCGGATAATAAACATTCATTAAAATTAGGGCTGGGACGACGCGTCGACGTCATCGATTACGTCGACGCAAAAACTGTGCGTCGATGCGTCGTTTCAAAACAAACAATAGCGGCAGCAAGTAGCGGCAGTATCGATACCAGCGAGTCAGTTGACTCTGATCAATGTAGAATAGTGATGGGTCGGTCGCGAACGAGAGCCGGATTAGAGCCGGCTCTTTGAAGTGAACGACGGGAGCCGGCTCGCGATCGAGAGCGATTTTTTTTTTTTTTTAATTGTCTTTTAAAGCCGCATTGGTCAACATGTGAGGCTGTGGCAGCGTCTGTGTGACGACACTGAGCAGGAGGGGGGAGGGGAGGGGTTACAGACACTCGCATTTTGTGTTTTGTTTTTCACTGTACATGGTTGCACATTTTCATTTATAATTTGTTGAGTGATGTTTAGTTAATTTTGTGTTTTTTCACAAATTAAAATGGGTCTTTTTTATTTAAAATTTATTTATGTATATTTTAAGTTATGTTACGTTTATTAATAAAGCCATATACATACTATACATATGTTATATTTTATGTTTTTTTACATTAGTTATTCATTTTACACATAATTTGGTAATAAATGAATTTAAGTAACAAAAAATCTGAGGAGCCACTTGGGAGCCGAAAGAGCCGGTTCTTTTTAGTGAGCCGAGCCCAAAGAGCCGGCTCTCCACAAAGAGCCGGTATTCCCATCATTAATGTAGAACACGAAGTCGTAGTTCAAAGATATGGGACTATTTTTCCGTAAAAGGAGGCCATTCTGTCGTTTGTCGGCTGTGTAAAATGGAGATGGCTTATCATAAAAGCACGATGGCGATGCACCAGCACATCAAGACAAACACATAGACACACACTACACTACACACAGTATTCTTGAGTGAAAAGGCAGAGTGTATGTTCCTGTGAATGAACAGCACTTTATATTTTGTTAGTTAAAAAAGAACACTGCTGCTGTTTATATTTTATTGATTTTATGATGATAACATTTTCTTGATTCTTGCACAACAAGAAAGTATTTTATTTCATTTTATTTTTTGTTAAATGCTACCTCTGACGTCAGATTGCACTATTGTTTTCATTACTTGAATTTTATTTTGGAATATGGTCATTTTTGGTGAAAACAATAGAAATATGTTGGAATGAAGAAATTTGTGTTTTTTCATTAAGATACATAAATTAGCATATGTAAATTGCTATATAAGTCAAATAATGGGAAAATAATCGATAATCGAATCGATTCGAATTCGAATCAAAAAAATGAATCGTTAGATTAATCGATGCATCGAAAAAATAATCGCTACATTAATCGATTACAAAAATAATCGTTTTCCCCAGCCCTAATTAAAATCTCTTGTCCTTGTAAACTACCTTTAATTATAACAACCATTTTTAACCTTAACACAATTAACCACTGTTTCTTCTGGTTGTAAATGACGATAAAAATACTTGGCCAAACATTCCCTGTTGTAACTTTGAATGCTGTGTCATCAAGGTGGGTTTCTTGCACCAGTGCAATATCTATAGTTTCTCTTTTCAAGAAAGTATTTTCCTACGTTTTACGGGATTATGAATCCCTCGTATATTCCAGGTGCAAACCCGTTGTTTATTTCCCATTATTTCAAACTCCTATTGTAGCAATATCCTGGCACACTCCTTTTAGAATACAGAGAAATAAAATAACTGAGCTGTGCAGAAACATTAGAACCAGAACAAGAAACATAAAAAAAAACCCTACTAACCATGCAGGGAGTCACAGTCTTCCTTTTGCCCTCGGCAAACAGCCAGCCTAACCATAGAAATAACACAAGTCCCATCTCGCACCCGGCAATATGACAGTAGTCTGTGTGTAAAAATAACACACAGTGATAAATAATATGATCATATGAGTACTCACATAAGGTTAGTAATATCAGTCCAATAACCAGAGCGTAAGGGGGAAAGAGAGAACTTCTCTGTCAGTACTTGTGCTGAGCCAGGCAGCTATCCAGACAGCTTAACCGAGCGAGTCCACAAATGACGCTGCCTCCCCCGATGTATCAAAACCTCTTCACTGTCCCGTTGACCGTCATCGTAAGCTTGGCAGGATACATCACCATGTAGTCAATACTCATCTTCTTCAGCCTTCCACACCTTCAGCCAGTCCAACCACACGTATATTGCACCTGCGCCCACGATTATCCAAATCCTCAGTGTGCTCCAACATGCCGCTCACTTGTTTCTCCAGACCAGTCACTTTAGCCTGCAACGACTCCACTGTGGTATCCACCATAGTAATTCTGCTCTCCGCCTCGAGTTCCTAGCGCCTGTATTTGGGTTGTTTGGGCCCTTATAGCCACAAGCACTGTTTCAACTCTATTGTTCTTTAATCATGTGACTGTAGATATTTTATTTCATTTAGAGAAAAAAAGTAGTGGAGCGTCGTTCTGGTGGCCCCGGCAGCTCTACACCTGTGGTTCCACCACAATGTTGCAGCAGTAAAAAAATAATTAATCTCTTATGTAAAACATGGTTGAATGTCTTTACATGGTCCTTAACAGTAATCTTTGTTGGTAAATGTGAGACGTTCATGTCACGTGTGTCTGCAGCTTTACAACATGCTTCAAAACCAGAAACAAGTCAATTTAGGTGACATCATTATGGTTTTGATCGGGGACTGGTGTGATTGGTTCAACTCGAGGGAAACTTTGATTATTGGTCAAATTTGCAGAAAAAGGCACACAGAATTCACGTGGATTGGTTGAATTTGCGTTAATTATTGTGATCTAGACATCGAGACTTTCTGGAGGGACTGATGTTGTTCTAACAGATACAGATGAGACAAGCAGGACTTTAGATCTGAGGCATATTTTACTGCTGACAGTTTTCTCAGGCAGTGGATCGTCTCCCCACCGACACTTGGAAAATAATTCCAGATTATTACAATATGGCGTCTCATTTTTATCTGGTAATATTTCTGAACTCTGGGAAAACTGTGAAATCACAAGAATAACAGTCTGAGGAACGAAGAAGTTGGACCACCTGATACTTTATCTGAAGCACTTTATTCTCAGGTCAAAGTGAGTGAGCACATCTGTTAATAATCTCTCACTTTAATGTTGACTCGTTTTTTCTCTTAACGACATATCTTGTTTCTGACCCATCTGACTTCCAGCAATGTCACCGCAGATCATTCATGTGTTGAGTACAGTGTTGTTATTACTGATGGACGATGTCACAAGACAATGAGCCCACCTGTCTGCTGCTTACCTTGGACTCCAGCAGCCTGCAGGAAGTGTGACACATACTGCAGGAGCACGTTCAGACCACCAGCCAAACTCCCAGCAACCACACCCAGGACTTGAGTGAAAGCCTGGAGGAGAGGGTTGGGGTGGGGCGGTGGGGGTGGCGTGGGGGGGGTGGCAGGGTAAGTTAACGAAGGGTTAACACAGTGGGCTCAGTCTGGTTTACCTACATCTACCTCACCTCTACCGTCAGTCTGATGCTGCTTTCTGATAAGGCTCCAGGCTGTAGTTTACAGCTTTATTGAGGGTTAATACATCATTTATTAATGTTTAAGTTATAAGTGATTAATGAGAACAACGTCTTGGTTGCCAGGTTGTGGCAAATCCTCCTCTAGCAGACACCTTGTGTATTTAGACCTCAGCAATGGACTGTCTGACCAGTGATCCTCTGGCTGCACGACCTCTGGACCAGGCTCCATCTAGAGACTGATTATTAACACTCACAACTGCAGATACATTATTAAATTATACATAGAGTCTGACTGGCTGTGGGTCTGTGTGAAAAACCTAAAACAGTCCAAGTGTAGAAAGAACAATCAATCTAAAAGTGAAATTTTGTGAAGAAATTTCCGCTCTGTTTAAATCTAATGACACGACATGTAGATAAACCATTAAAAGTACTGAGGGTCTCTAATAATCCATCAGGTCTGTAGTTTGAAATATCAATCAACATCACATTATGTATTAGTGGTATTTATGTTTGTTTTAATTGATGTATTTTATATACTCAACATTATTTTAAATGAGGACTGTACACTCAAATAAAACACCTTAAGCACATTGAATTACATCAGTGTATGATAATGTGCTAAACAAATAAACCTGCCTTACTAGTCATTAATCTGAGTAATGACTTACTACCATTTATAACTGGTGATGATGTGATGATGTGTTTCACACTTTACAATAAGACTCCCTTAGAAGGTTACCACCTGTGTTCTACCTGAGTGTTAAAGTCCTGAAGAAGAGACCAACCAGCAGAAAGCATCTCCATGTTAATATCTGATCAACAGCTGTGATTAGGATGAGGATGGCTGCTGAGAGCAGGTCAAGGTAAACAACACTGCCAAGGCCTCAGAGGATGAATCTGATCATGTGATATGATCATGTGATCTGCCAGATGTAACTTTTTGACCATTAAGATGCTGATGGTGGTTAATTTATAAATTTATTAATCATTAACTGAACAAACATGTGATGAAGCAGCAGTGACAGGTGCTGATGATGGAGAAAACAGAGATGAGGCTGAAAAGTATATGCATGTGGTCTCACTATTTGGCAGGAAACAGGTCACTGCTGGCCTTTTTATCTAATGTGTTAGAACAGCTTATAAATTATTTATAACTGTTAACAAGTTCATTCATAAACTAGTTATAAACCATTCATTAATCCTTTATAAGGGGCGTCTGATCGTGAAGTGGAACCGAATGATCAGTGAAGCATTCTAGTAAAACAAGTATTGATCATAAATAAAACCATTGATTACTTATCAGAGTTCACACTGAACCTGAGGAGGCTGGAACCAGGAAGTCAGCTCTCCATATGACTGACCTTGTACTACAATTAATCAAAGTGTAGGTGATAATGATAATGTAAATAAAAGGTTAAAGTTGCTGCTGTGACACTTTCAGTCTCTGTGTTGTTGAATAAAATTCACATTTCTGTTAAACACTTCTGTAAATCCATATTTTGCGTCTCTCACAGTTTCACTTTGTAACTGACGTTAAACAACATTATTGCCGCCTCTGACCTTCTGTACCGACTGCACCGTCTGCTCCCCGGCCAGGTCAGCCAGAGCCGTCCGGAGCTCCTGGATCATTCCGGAGCGACTTTCGAACACCGTTTCTCCTGAAGCAGCGTGGAGCAGGGCGGCGAGCACATACAGCCCGCCGAGAGCTGCTCGGTGTGGATTAGAGAACATACCGACAACTGAGGCACACCTGTGGACAACGAGCGGGAAATAGTAGCATCTGCAGGTAAACAGCCACCGGGGCCACAGCACAAAGTTTTTCCAACAGGATGTGGAAAAAACTTGTATGAATGAGAAAAGACGGCTGCCCCCTGTTGGGCTGAGAGCGCTACAACTTCTACCTCTTCTTCTTCGTTGGGGTTTTACGGCAGCTGACGTCCATTATGTCGCATTACTGCCTTCTATTGGTTTAAATCACACATTACAATCTTGTAATTACTGTAAATATCCATCCGCCGTGTCCCCGCACTGAGGCAGACCTAACTAACTCTTTATGTACTCAGAATGATTTGCTCCTTTCTGTTGGTTCCTTTGTATCCCGACCCTCCTGCTTTACTTTGAATTTCATTAATGTAAAGTTGTATTCCTAATGATATGTTTCATATTAAATTTTGAGAGATCAGTTTATTGTTTGTTTTGTTGTAATGTGTTGTTATGTTGTTTTCTTTCATATTGTTTTTCTTAGAGTTACTAAAGAGAAGGCATAAAAAGCAAAAATCTGTCTTCACACATTCAGCTGGGACACACATGTTGCTCACGTTTTTTTTCTTATTGTGGCCACAGAGTAAAAGAGCAGATACCCAGTCCTGTCTCTTGTCTCATCATGAACACAACACAACGCAACCCAAATCCCCGTTTAGAAGCATGCACAGGTTACACTTATATTATCACAAATGTTTCCATCAATTCACAAACCAAAGAAATCTGTGATTTTAATCATGGTAATGCTTCATTTCAGTGGTGGCCTGTAACTGATGTCATATCCTCTATGATCATGTGTCAGTGTTGTGTTTGTCTGCACCTGAAAATATTACACAAAATTTATCCAACAAACATGTACATTTCAAGATTTATGAATATTGATAACAGATGTGCTTTTTGTAAGACTGAACAAGAAATCATCATTCATCTACGGTTGTTCATTACACCCTGGAAAAACTTTGAACGTTACATATTATGCAAAACAACATGTCATCAAAACTGAACAGAAGAATATTTTCACTTATTTTGAATGTAAGGTTAACAATTCCTAATATATTATTAACCTCCTGATTTTACTGGGGAAATTTCATATTCATAAGGAAAAAATTCTTCAATCAATTCCATCTTTTAAGTTGTTTCTAATCGCTCTTGAACGACTCTTTGAGTCTTTCAAATTGGTAACAAACAAAGTCCATGTCAGCAGTTGATATATATTCTGAAATATTTGTCTGAAGAAGTCTGTCACAAATATTTATCCTTTTTTAATTTATGTATTTGTTGGGTTTTTTGGTTTTTTAAAAAAAATAATTTTCATCTTTTTAAAAAAATCTTTATTTCTTTATTTAAGAGCTGACATGTCTGATTGTTTGTAAAATTTAATTTAATAACTAAAAATAAAATAAAAAAGTGTTGTGTTTGTCTGACAGAAACACAAAATTGACTTTTATCCAGTTTTAAGTCTCATTTTTTAAGAGTCACTTTTTACACCTTGGTGGTTTTCAAATCTGTATTTGAACTAAATGAAGGATTTTATTCATCACAGCCACTGGAGACGTCCTGTCCTATGTCCACTGAGGAGCGATGGTGAATCTAGGATTTTTAAAGGTAAATTATTTCATTCAGCGTTGTTGTAGAGAGGATGATAACTCTGTGGATAATTCAGCTGCTGGTAAAAACCTGCTAAACCACTGACACTGAAGGAATCAAACAGGAGAAGCTGATAGTAATGTTTGTGAAGACTCTTATAAATTATAAACAGTATTATTATATAATAAATATATATAATATTATATATTAAACAGTAGTTCATAAACTCAGTCTGACTGTGAAGTGATCCACTGTCACTGATGCAAAGTTCAGCTCAGGTTCATGTGAGGCTTCATGAATCTGAGTAAACAAGTGAAGTGGAAATCTTCCAAAGTCACAAAGTTCCCTCCCTATCTTTCTCTCACTGAGCTGTGGCAATGTTTGTATTTCACTCACACAGGGTTCAATGACTGAAATCAATACTCACCTGGTGGAGAAGTTACAGCAGGTGACACATTCTCACCTGGAGAAGTTACAGGAGGGGAATCATTTCAGAAACCAACAGCAGAGATCAATAAACCCTCCAGACACCTGGGCTGAGGTTGAAATCAGAATAACCTCTCTGACCTCTTCTCCTTGACCATAGGAAAACATCATGAGATCAAAGAAATGAAGGAGAATTCATCAGGACAGAGGAAAGGAATCAGACTGCACTTACACTAAGACTTTTTTTCCTAACTTTATTTATAACACATGGGGGATAAATCCTCCTTTAACCAAAGAAACAAACAGGACTGAAAAGTTGAAATAAGAAAACATGACAGAAAAAAACAGATAGAGAAAGTTGGGTCATTAAAATAATAATTAAATAGAAATAATGAACTGAGAGCAAATTATATTCAGACATCAGTTTATAGTTTCTCGACATTTCTAAACAATTAATTTTTAGGTCTTTACACAATGGGAGGATTTAGTGAAAGAACAATGTATAAACTATAGTATTTAGTTATGATGATGATATTGTCAACTATAAATCCAATCTGCTTGTTCTTCATGATGATTCCTGACTGATTTAAAGAGAATAAATCTATATTTATGGTTTTGGGCTTCAGTCGATGAGACAAGGATTTCCATCAAACATAAAACAGCTGTTCTGTTGTTTCTACATTTTTGTGGCTCTGCTGTGGTTTTAAATGTTGCTGCAGCAAGAAATTGTTGGATGGCATTTCTCCTTTCCTTTAAAGGAAGCTCCAGTATTTCCTAAAGGAGATAAGATAGGAAGCACTGAAACTCCTCTCCTCAGCTCTGATCATGATGCTGCTCAGATACTTCAGGTCATTTCTCTGTTTGAACCTTGGAGAAGAAAGACTTTTCCAGCCATGGACTGAGTCACCATCACAGTACAGACATGTCTGTAAGTCTGTAACTCTGTAGCTCTGCAGCTCTGTAACTCTGTAGCTCTGTAGCTCTGTAACTCTGTGGGTCTGCAGTTCTGTAGCCCTATAGCTCTGTAGCTCTCCAGCTATGAAGCTCTGCTGTGGTCACGATGCTGCATGTGAAACTGTGTTTGTCTTCTCTGATCCAGCAGACGGACAAATAACAGAACAGAGTCCCGAGACAGTTTCAACTTCCTTCTTGCCAAGATACAAAGAAAGAAATATCTATGGACAGACAGGAAGCGGAGGTCATCAACAGGACAGGCCAGAACCAGATCCCTCCACGCAGAGAGAGAGAGGGAGGGAGAGAGAGAGGGAGGGGTAACAAACAGAAACAGCTGCCCCTCTCAGAGCCTCTCCGTAGAGCTTCTGTACAGGAAGTTGTGGTGTTGCAGTCTTCAGGATTAATGCAGATTCAGCATCCACCTCTTCATTTCATTTCTTCTTTTTTTGTCTCCACAGTATTTCAGCAGAAATCTGCTCAAACTGGAAGAAAAGCTTTCAACATGTTTTCCATTCTCTCCTTCTCTGCATGAGAGAATGATCCGAAGTGTTTCCTCCTGCCCAGCAAGATTTACTAATACAACATGTTCCGTCTTCTCTCAGACCTCACCCCCCCAAGTTTTTTTTAAATTATTATCTTCTATTTAAAAAGCTGCTGGTAAATTACTGCCTACTGCTATTACTATTACTGCCTATTACTATTATTATTAACTAATTTGGCGACTTGCACATTGCGTTTTTTGGGGATTATTTATTATCATTTATCATCAATCATTTGCAATCAACTTGTAGATGTAGCAGTTATCTCATTAGCTGCTTGTTTTTAAAATTACTTCAATTTTACACTGCATAGAAGCAGCACAATTCTCTCTCCAAAACAAAAATGAAATACATTATAGGCTTATGCATTATTAGATTGTATGGCTTTAGAAGGTAAAACAGTGCAGTGTAGAGTCTGTTCTGTTGGTTCCTGTGTGCAAAGTTCTGCTTCTGCTGTCTTCATTTCATACACCCCTCACACACATTCATATAAATGAATATATGATTTTATTTTGTAGAAAATAAACAAACTATATCAGAGTTAAAAATGCATAAACATATCTTTTATAATACTGTAGAAAAAGTTTAAAACAGTGCACATGATCCTGTTTAGGACTCTGTCTCATACACAATGTTTCAACAACCGAGACCCTATAAACTGAAACTCCATCAAATCAACAGGAGGAAAGTCAGTGAGGTTTCCTCCTTACCTGCAGGCAACCTGGTGATCCTCTGTGCATTGCAGTGCCACTGGTATGGTGGCTGACAAGGGCAAAAACTCTTCCATCAGGAGAAATGAACTGCAAATTCAGAAACAATGCAGATTCATTTGAAAATACAAAAATATGGAAACGACGGCACGGTAGTGCAGTGGTTAACGCTGGCGCCTCACAGCAAGAAGGTTCCTGGTTCGAGTCCCGGCTCCGACGCGGGGTCTTTCTGTGTGGAATTTGCATGTTCTCCCCGTGCCTGTGTGGGTTCTCTCCGGGTACTCCGGCTCCTCCCACAGTCTAAAGACATGCAAATGGGGACTAGGCTGATTGGTTACTCCAAATTGACCATAGGTATGAATGTGAGAGTGAATGGTTGTTTGTCTCTGTGTGTTTGCCCTGCGATGGACTGGCGACCTGTCCAGGGTGCACCCCGCCTCTCGCCCGAAAGGATGCTGGGATAGGCTCCAGCCCCCCCGCGACCCTACTAGAGGATAAGCGGTAGAAAATGAATGAATGAATGAATGAATGAATATGGAAACAAGCTGCAAAAGAAACAACAAGCTGCAGGAAGTTAAAATAAAAACATATGAACAATAAACAAACACAAATACAGAAACACCTTGTGGAAGACCTTCAGCAGAAGCTTCAGCTTCAACCAGAGAGGCCAGACCTACAACTAGACCTTTGACCTTGGACCAAAGAAGAGAGTATGACCGAAGAAAGAAGAGGCAACATAAAATGGTTTGTGTTCCTTTTTGCTTTTGGTCGTAGTTTTTCCAATATTATAAAAGAGCAACAGACAGTGTAGCAAGCATTAGCGTTAGCTTATATGCAGTCTAGAGGTGTTCCACTTAGAGCTCCCCCTAGAGGCCTGGAGCTCTGACATTATGTGGATATGCAGCATTTTAATTCCTCCATGCCTTTGACAGTCAGAGCAGCCATTTTGTTTTTAGGTTGTCCGTCCATCTCATTCTCTTGGACACAATATATCAGAAACACCTTGATAGATCTTCAAATTTGGTACAAACATTCACAAGGATTCAAAGATGAACTCATTAGACTTTGGTGGTCAAAGGTCAAAGGTCAAGTCACAGTGACCTCAAAAACACACAAATGGTTAATATTTATATATGACTCTGGATAAACAGGGATGTGACCTGGAACTATTCTGAGTGGAGGAGGGATACAACCTTGAGGATGTGATTCTAGTTTCTGCTCCGTTTGTTTTGGAGGTTCATGTGTGTTTTGTTTTTTCATTCTCTCTGTATTTGTCTGTTTGTTGTTCGTGTGTTTTTGTCTTCCTGCAGCTTGTTGTTTCTTTTGCAGCATGTTTCTGTTCTTGTGTTTGTTTTGTATTTTTAATGTGTTATTGAACCTGCATTATGTCTGAACTTGCAGCTGGTTTCTCCTGATGGAAGAGTTTTGGGCCATTGCAGCATGTTGGACATCGTCAGCCACCGTACTCTGGTTATCCATTGGTACAATTACAAACAGAAACCACAAACTAACAGACAAGTATTCCTCTCATTAAAGTCATTTAGAGGAAGCAGTTACAGTCTTGAGTCTTCAGGACAGTCCACTGATGCAGACCATGTGATATGGGTAAAAGCACTGGAAAAGCTAGTAAGTGAACCATGACTTGAGTTTATTTTGTCTCCTGTGTAGCTTTGGATTTAAACTGGACTCACTGTGTTGATGGAAAATCGATCTTTTCTTCTTTTCCTCTACAACTTTGCTGCTTTTTTATCAGTTTTTTTTAATGCCCATTTGATTGGTGACGATTCAAGTGTGTTTTAAAGGAGTAGGAAACTGGTGCTGTCAGTTTTTGGCCCAATCCCAACACACCCGACAATACCAAAACATTTGCATTCAATTGTGGGTTTGGGACTTTTGATTGTACATTTTTATTCGCTCCCTGTTTTTAAACAAAAAAAATAATGTTCATCAGATCTGATCCAATTTGGATATTTGGTGTATCAGAATAGCTTCTCTCAGAATGCCTTCTCTCTGCCTGACCTCCACCTCTTTGTCATATTTGAACCATGATGCTAATGTTTATAATTTATATTCCTTCTTTTCTTTTATTGCAGCTCTGTCTTTCATTTAAGTTTTGGATTATTTAAGTGTATCAATAACCTAGTGTTAAAAACAAACATTTGAGAGCAGAGGCTCCTGAGCTCCTCAGTCTGTCAGATAGCACAGTGGATAAGTCATAGACATGTAATCAAACAAGTGATCCATCCCCTCTCCCATCGTGACAACAGCTGATCAGTCGTCTTGATGAGAGGTTACCCATCAGCTGATCAGTTCAGGTCAGGGGGGATGAGTGCTTCGGGGGTGGATGGAGCAGCTTGATTGAGAGACTATTAAAGACAGAAAGGAGAGAGAGTCAGCACCATTCCTTCTTATATTATAAAGTTGTGAGTATCTTAAGATGCATTAAAGTACTCAGGGGTTAAACTGATCTTAGCTCCGCCTCCTTCAAATCATGTGATCAGAAGAGAGACTCAGAGCCTCTGATTCAAATGAAACACTGTACAAGTATAAAATGTGGGACCTTTAAAAGCCTCTTTCAGGATGAGAGCACTGTAAACTGCTGACTCAAAGAGCACTAGTTTGGTTTTCCCTCCATGCTTCAGTGTTGTGTGGGAGCCTCAGCTGTCACACAGATTTCACAGGGATTGGTTGAATTTGCGTTAATTATTGTAATCGAGACATTGAGACTTTCTGGAGAGACTGACCTACTAACAGCCAATCTAACAGTCACATGTCAACACGTTATCTCAGGTGAATATATATGTTTATACAGTGTCTTTGTGTTTTCAGTTGTATTACAGCCACAGTAAAAGTGTTTCTGTGTTGCCTCGTTATCCTTCCTTCCCTGTAATGTCACACATAGGTTCAGTTTGATCCTGAGTTCACAGTGAAGTGTGCTGAGGTGGAAGTGTTCAACTCACTGTGGTACTGATTACTGCTCACACTGAAACACACCTTCACCTCCACGACATGAAGCCCAGCACTGTTCACTGTTTTCATAATTTCACAAGAAGCTAAAGACAGCGTTGGCACCAGCTGGTCTTTACTTCATTGCCATAGCAACAACCACAGAACAGTGTAATCAATCCTTTAGCATGTTTCACGTATGAACAGAGTCTTGTCAAACTGTCTCTAGCTAAAGCATGATATTAGCATGCTCCAGTTAAAAGTATAGTGTGGTAAGGTCTCTTATTTCAGGGAGACACCAAAGTTTAAAAAAGTCAGCACTGACACAGTCTGATGAAATCGTTTCAGCTGCGTTTCTCCTGCTCCTGAAGACCGCAGTTATACTTGCTTATGAACACGTACATGGACAGCTGCGGACACCGTGGACACGTAGTTGTTTTCAGTTACGGTACAGCTACAGTGTGACATGATGACGTAGATCCTATCTTAACACTTCCTACCTGTCTGCTAATATATCATCGCATACCGTTTGGCTGTAGCTGTAGGAAGTGTCCAGATAGGATCTAGATCATCACCATAGACGTTTCTGAAGAGCGGTTCTGAAGCTCAGAGTGAGCTGCTCTACTGTCGCCATCTTGGCAGTGCCTGACTCTACCCCTAACACCCAGCTAATCCAAAAATGGGCAAAGAGGAGGGGCATGTGTTGAGCTGAGACTTTGGTGCATGATGGTTTGTGTCAACAAACCTGTCACACAAAGAGGCCACGCCCTCAATTCTCCATAAATGTAAGCCTCAATAAAATGTAAAGAGGTGAGTTATATAAACATTTGTCAGAAGGACGAAATTAGCTCTAGAGACCAAAGCTGTATTTGTACCAAGCTGTAAACGTGTTTATTTCTGCTGTAAAGGTTGACATTTTAACATGGGAGTCTATGTAGATTGACTCACTGTTTGAGCCACACTCTAGTGGTTATTAGAGGAACTGCAACTTTTGGTTCTTCAGTGTTAATGCTGGATTATCCCTCGCTTGGAGTACAAGCTCCATACACGCACAGTAGATCGGGTTCATACACAGCAAGATACCTCTGTTGCTTCAGAAGTGGTGAGTCTTACAGTGACCATGTGTAACCAGGTGTGAGACAGGTGTGTGTGACTGAAGAGGAAGTGCTGCAATCTTACAGTGTACTGTCTGAAGCTGCTTCGCTGTCTGAAGAGCAGGAAGCAGAGGATGGCAGAGACAGCTGTCTGGGCCAGAGTGAAGAGGAGGAGGGACGACTTCACTCCTCTGCTCAGCCTCTATTGTTAAGGACACACACACACGCACACACACGCACGTACACACACACACACACACACACACACACACACACACACACACACAGTATTATCGCTTGATCAGTCTACTCTCAATAATCCATAAAGACAAAGTAAAAACAGCTGACACCGACCATGGCGTAGTGTTTGGCGCTGCAGCTGCCGTGTGGCGTCTTGACGCAGGGCACCTCGGGATGCTTGTCCATGTCCACAGAGTAGATGATGACAGCCACCATGGACAGCACGGTGGACACCACACTCACCATCAGACACACCTGCAGCTGTAACACACACAATGTTTCATCTTTTTAAACAGTGACAGTATTAGGTGAACAGCAGCTGCAGCAGTTTCCTGTTGCAGAGACAGTTGCAGTGGTAACTCTGTGAAGTTGACCTGCTTCTGTCAAAGAAACCCTGATTGAAACCTGTCCAACACTGAGACTTTACTGTGCATTCATGAGGCACTGATCAATAATAATCCTCTCTCATGTTGTGATTGGTCAGTTTGAACAGTCCAATCATAGTCATCACATCATATTAGAGGTGAGATCTCTGAGAGCAGCTGAACAGACTTTAAAACTACATTTGATTTAAATAAAGCTACTTTAGTCTTCACTCAGGGAAAAGTGTGACAGGATTTCTCACACTGTCCAAACATCAGATTCTCCTCGCTTAGCACAGAGAGAGTGAGATTGAGGGGGACGAAGGACAGTCCTGTTGAGTAGCTCTTTGGAGGCTTAAACCAGGACGACAGTATTCTGTTTCTAAATGTTTGTGCGTTAGGGTTCCAGTACAAAGTTCTAATATAGGATATGAATTTATCTCCACGTCTAAGTTGTGAATGCAAAAAGATCTGACCATTTCACCCGGTCAAAAGCCTTTTCAGCATCCAGGGAGATAAAAATGGAGTCTTTGTTGCTGGTGATAAAAGAGTAGAGAATATTAAAGAGAGTATTACAGATTACAGAATGGAATCCGGACTCTGACCCTGCCGCTCACCTGAAAAATGTATTGTAATGTAATGTAATTTCCTTTTTTCTTTCAGGTTTTGTGAAATATCCAGATATCCCCTCAGCAAAATGTCCCTGGACCTCAGCAGCAAGTACACTTTATCAAAGCTGTGTGTGTGTTTGTGTGTGTGTGTGTGTGTGTGTGTGTGGTCTATAGACTCACAGTCCTCATGGTGCAGTGTTTGTCCAAGATGATGGCGACCACTCCTACTGTGATGAACTGCGAACACAAACAGAGAGGAGACAAGAGGACTACATCACAACAGGAAGACCTGAACCCTGAACCCCCACCTGAAGTCTGTTATTATACACACACACACACACACACACACACACATACAGACTTACCATCAGGCCACTCCACCAGGGAACTCCCAGGCTGACGACCTCAGTGACCTCAGTGAAGTGCAGAGGAATGGAGTAGGACATGACCATCAGCCCCAGCATCACCTGACTCACCTGGCGCACACACACACACACACACACACACACACACACACACACACACACACACACACACACACACACAGTTTCCTTCTCTGTTTCCTTCACTTCAGAGGACATTGACTTACATTTATTTCCAGGAGACTTCCCTTAAAGTTATAATCTGTAACTTTTCCACATTAAAATAAAAACAACTAGACCTATGTTCTATGTTCTATATGTTGTTGAGTTGTGTTCTTACATTATCACAAATGTTTCCATCAATTCTCTAACCAGAGAAATCTGTGATTTTAATCACGGTAATGCTCTGTTTCATTGGTCACCTGTCAATGACATCATATCCTCTCTGTCAGCGGTCAACAACAGTCAAGTCAAACTGTATGTATAAAGACAGAGCTGCAGCATCAGTGAGGCAGACAGTGAGTCTGATACCGTTTCTTCTCTGAACCAGTTTGTCTGCCTCCATCTTTAGTTACCGTCTCTAAACACAGATAAACTCTCTTTTGCACTTCACTGTTTTCGCTCTCTCTCAGTTCCCTCCGCTCACCTACATCACAAATGGAGAGTTTTCTGGATGGGCGGGGGAGTGTGTCTGTGAGAGGGAGAGAGAGAGAGGATCGAAACACCAAAGAACTTCATGCAGCATCTTAAAACAATAATGTGACCATTTATACTCGTTGTTAGTGATACTGTCATTTATACAACAAGCCGCGATACATCGAGTATATTCCATATATCCCCCCAACCCCCCTTTTCAGACATTTGTCACAATTAGTCTATGTAAATTAATAAGTTAAACCAAAACCGCGTTTTGTGAGGTCACAGTGACCTTGACCTTTGACCTGAGTCCAAGTGAATGTTTGTGCCAAATTTCCAAATTTGAAGAAATTCTCTCAAGGTGTTAAAGAGATATTACATCATGCCTCCGGCCCATAAAAATCAGTCTCTCTGTTTGTTTTTAATTGTCCATGATGTTAAGATTTCTTGCTAAAGTGTGGTGCACAGGACGTGGCTGCACACACACACTTTCATCATTACTTCTGAATACTGCAACATTAGACACTAACTTCTCTGCAGGTGGTGTTACAACAACATGAGACATTTCACTGCTCATTTAAGGTGTTTTGTTTCACTCTTCATGGAGGTAGGCTAACATTTCCCTCTGCATCCAGTCTTTGTGCTAAGCTAAGCTAAACATAGCCTAGACCTGTCTCCCTACTGACACAGATGAAATGATGACATTGATCCTGTCCTATCCATCTATCACACACACACACACACACACACACACACACACACACACACACACACACACACACACACACACACACACACACACACACACACACACACACAGTTTGAGACTCACTCCCAGACATTTGGGCTCTCCTCTCTGGATGGCAGCTCGTAGAGCCTGCTGTCTGTCAGTCAGCTTCACAGCATTCACATCCTCCAGCACCTGCACCGCCAGATCCCTGGAGACCGCCACCGCCATAACCTGGAGGCAACAGCAGAGTTCACCTTCCTACATCTCATGTGTTTACAGGAAAAGGAAGTCTGTTCCTGTTCAGATTAGCTGATGACATGACAGTGGTTGGGGTAGAAACAGAATAAAATGAATCAGCATGAGGGAGGGAGGTGTCCGGTGTTTTGAGGTGGTGCAGCGATCGAGAGATGGGCACAGACTTCAGGAGAAGTAAGGGAGGGAAACCTCCTCTTGATTATAAAAGAGTTTAAATTTCATGGCACCATGATCTCTCCTGACCTTACATGGGAAATCAGATTCATAAAGATAAGCATCAAGTATCTGAACTGAACAAATCAGCTGCTCAAAACCCCAAATGAAACTCAAACAAACTTGTTTTAGGTTTAGCACAGTTTTAAACAACTGGAAAGTTAAAGCTCCATATTTTCTTCTTCTGTGTTTTATTTGAAGAGTTGATCCATAAGAAGATATATATTTGTTTTTATTTTTATTGCTTTTACTGTGTTTGCATGTGTATGTGTGTGTGTGTGTGTGTGTGTGTGTGTGTGTGTGTGTGTGTGCATACAGTATCTGCTCCTTCTAACTGTCTTTATTTATAGTGAAGCATATTGTTTATCCTTCCTCTGTAACTCTACCATATGTCTGTCCTGCTTTTGACCATCATTGCTTTTGATTCATTTGTCAAAACACTTTGTAAACTGTTTTTAAAAGGTGCTGTATAAATAAAGTTAGTGTAATAATAGTAGTAATAATAATAATGATACTATTAATTATTATTATTATTATTATGATTATTTGTGGTTTTAAGGACCAAAAACCATCTCAATGTAGTTTTACATCTCCTCTCTCAGACATCTCTCTGGAGCTCTAGTAACAATAGTGCCAATCAGAAGAGAGGAGGCTCTGAACCTCTCTTCTGATTGGCTGACTGTTTTCTCAGTGATCCAATAAAAATATAGCAGATTCAGGTAAACATTCAGAGAAACCAAATCCTGCAAGGTTGGATGGTGGATCCAGGTGGGTGGGTGGCTTATGACTGCTTTGTTGTGACATCACAAAGTTCCAGAACTGAGCGCGTTGATACTTTCACAGTATTAATATAGAATCTAAACCTGCTTTATAATCAAAAAAGAACACTAGTTAATTCTCATTCTCCACAGAAACTGGAACCAGTGCCTGCCTGGGAACACAATAGATAGACAGACAGACAGACAGACAGACAGACAGACAGACAGACAGACAGATAGATAGATAGATAGATAGATAGATAGATAGATAGATAGATAGATAGATAGATAGATAGATAGATAGAGGGGAAATCCATGTGTCCATTAGCTCATTGTTGATAATAATAATAATAATAATAGGTCTCAGTCAGACACTACACCATTGACTCCAGTAACAGGTTTAAGTATCACGATAACTGCGACTATCATCGCGCACGGGTATGAGCGCTGCAAACAGTTTACGCACACGTTACGCACACACTGATTGTGTTGCATAAACTTGCTCTCTCGACGCAGACTGTAGAAACCCGTGGCGTTAGGGAAACACAAATTTGTGCTGTGAAGTGGTCTCTCCACGACCACCTCTAAAATTATCCGTTCATTCTCCAGAGACTGAAACCACCGGTCTGGACCCTGCTGGACGTAAGACTTCACATAGTCTAAACACCATGACGTTAACACGATGCTTTCAAGGCTGATGTCTAATTATTAGAAAGCAAAAAATGTCTCATTCCTACCTTTTTCTTCTCTCCAAACAAGTTAATAATTTTTTTCCTTATTTGCAGGCTTCTGTCGACCGCTCGTGATTTTTAATGCGCTTCCCTGTCCTGTCTATTTTGCAGACGCGAGAGACAGAGAGAGAGAGAGAACGAGAGAGAGAGAGAGAGAGAGAGAGAGAGAGAGAGAGAGAGATTGCTGCTCTCTGGATCAGATCCCCAGAGCTCCTCCTTCGCTTCCTCTCCTGGTTTCGTGCATTCCTCAAATCATTTTGTTGTCGGGATTTTTCACCGTTAAAGTTCATCTGGAGGACAGTGAAGGAGACCGTTCACTCCGTATTACGCACCAACGCTCCTGGTTTCCTCCACAGACTGAGGTAAACTTTTTGTGGAGGTGAGTAACACTCCGCTTTGTCTGACACTGGCTCGATTATTTAAATGTTAGAAATTTAAACAGAAAGCCCATAAATAGGGCAGTGGCGCATTCTTAATGTCGTGGCGCAGTGGATTTGAAAGGTGTGAGACTTTCTACACCTGCATGTACCCTGTCTACACCTATCTGTACCCCGTTTACACCTGTCTGTACCCTGTCTGTACTAGTCTACACCTGTATGCACCCTATTTATACCTGCAAGAACCCTGTCAATATCTGTATGTACCGTGTCTACACCTGTCTGTACCCTGTCTACACCTATATGCATCCTGTTTATATCTGCATGAACCCTGTCTACAACTATATGCATCCTGTTTATATCTGCATGAACCCTGACAATATCTGTATGAACCCTGACAATATCTGTATGTACCCTGTCTAAACCTGTCTGTACCCTGTCTATACCCATATGTACCCTATCTGTACCTGCATATACTCTGTCTACACCTGTCTGTACCCTGTCTATACCTGCATGTAGCTTGTCTGTACTTCTCTGTCTGTAGTCATAGGTACCCGGTCTATATCTGTAGTTAACCTGTCTGTGCCTGTACACACCTTGTCTGTACCTGCATTTATTCTCTCTCTACCTGTATGTACCCTGTCTGTACCTGCATGTACCCTGTCTGTACCTGTATTTATCCTGTCTGTACCCATTTGTACCCTGTCTGTACCTGCATGTACCCTGTCTACACCTGTCTGTACCCTGTCGCTACCTGCATGTGCCCTGTCTACACCTGTCTGTACCTGCATGTAGCCTGTCTATACTTTTCTGTCTGTACCCAGATGTGCCCGGTCTGTATCTGAATGTATTTTGTCTGTACTTGTATGCGCCCTATCTACACCTATGTATACCCTGTCTATACCTGTATGTACCCCATCTGTACCTGTATGTACCCTATCTACACTTGTCTTTACACTGTTTGTACTTTTATGTACCCTGTCTGTATAGGCTTTGAAACAAAAAGTTTGTCTTGTGTACCTCCTCTGGTCTTTTATGTTCACTCAAACTTAAGGATAAACAAATAGTTAGTTATTGTAAGTTACATTAGTTATTTTAGTTAAGGATATGGTGATTCACTTGTAAATCCCATAATAACCTGACAGAGCAGTGAAAATAAATCAGATGTGTCCGTGAAGTGACTTTGTTTTAAGATGAGTAAAGGACAAAATGTTCCCCTCATTCCACACAGCCTTGTCAGTTTATTTCATCATCACCCCAACAACCCCCAGCCCCCCCCCTCCCCCACGCAGCCCACACGCTTTTCTTACTCTCCCTGCCCTTTTCCCCCTCCTCTCATTCTCCCCCGACCACATCTGCTTTTCATCTGGCAGCATTCCTGTCTTTCCTAAGAGGATTTGGACATGTGGTTTTGATGAACACACTTGTACACATTCTCTCTCTCTCTGTTCCTTTTTTTTGTGTCTTTCACTACCTCATTTTGCGCCTCTATTTCTCAATCCCCTCCTCCTGTCCAAACAGATACGCTGCAGAAACACACAAGAACACACTTGCTCAAACATAGCACACCTGCTACTTCACTGGCATCCCACTGTCCTTTGCTCTCTCCAGTGGTGTGTCCCATGATCATGTGACCTGTCTCTGTTGTTCTTTGGGTTTCTTCATGTCTTTTCTTTCGTAATCTGTTTCTCTCTGATTTCAAGGTAAAAATTTTCTTCATGTAGTAACAATCACAGAGAACCAATGTCCTTGAGCTGTAAAATGCAGTTTTAGGTTAACATTTATACAAGTGCCCAGTCTGGTTACATGTACTCTACTGTTTAAATCGAACCACTGCACTGGAGGTTGCACTGTGAAATCCATGCCCACATCATGAAGTAGTTCTAATACATGACAAATATCCCTAAAACACAGTACTGTGTTCAGACTTGATGTTGTAGGAGCTTGGGAACATCAACCACTGTGGTGTAGTGAAGCCCTCAGTGCTGTGCTCACTCTCCTGCTCTCTGCTCTAACCCTCTGAGGCTATTTTCTCGATTTCTACATTATTTCTGAATTTCACCTCTTTCTTTGCTGTTCTCACCTGTGAACTGATTCACCTGGTAACATGAAGATGCTCTTTAATTTAATAGTTTTATCATATATTATTATTATAACCATATAACATGATTTACCCCTCACCTTTTAAAATGTAACACATTTACGCAGAGACATTTTAACTGACTCATTTTGTACTATTATCTGATAACATCTTTACACAGTGATTTTACTTCTATTGCAGTGTAAAATATCTTTTCAGCAACAGTAGTTAGTGATGTGCTGCAGTCAGTGTGGCGTCTCATCTCCAGTCTCTGGAGTTTCTGTTACTGCTAGAGTTTATTTATGCTCTGTCTGAACAGTTAACGTTGCTGTTTTCTTCATCACAGTGTCTAACTACCTGCTGTACATTTAAACTTACACTAGTTCTGCTGCTGCAACCAGTTTGTTTACATGCAATTCAGATCAGCTAGTTACTTTAGCTTCCCCCCACCCCCACCCCGTAGTTATTGTACCTTCAGTGTAGAGGATTGTGATGTTTATCTGCTGTCTTACTGCGCTCATTAACCGAAGCTGCTCTAGTCTGTGTCTGTCTGTATACACTCTTTACATGTGAGCAATCAGATGGTGTTGTGGTTGGGACACTGCAATATGTCTTTTTTTACAAAAACAAATTGCTGAAGTGCAAGTTCTGTCACAAAACAATGTTGTTACATGCCGTTGGGCATTTTTAAGTGGTTATATGTAAATTCTGGAGCTTTGTTAGTGGGTACACGGTGTTAACCTGCGTATCACGTAGACTACACCACTGATATGGTCTGCATAGCATGCTGTAAAATAGCTGGTAGCACTAGCCTACCAAGCACGTTTGGGTGGAGTCCATCAGCCCTAAAGATGGAAAAATGCACAATTTGATGGAGTGACAAATTTTCAAAGAAATCTATATTGTGAGCTCTGCAGATGGACTTGAGCCAGCTGTGGAGGATTTTGCTAAAACACCCCTCCCACATGGGCCAGAGTGGGGATAGGACTGTAAATAAATACACTTCCCACAAGTACTTAACAATCTGAAAAGGTCATTGAAATCCTTTTTGGTCAGCTCAGACTGTTGACGAGCAGCATCGCTTGTCCCAATGTGAATTATCACGTGGTTGGTAAAGGAGGGGACTGAGCACAGAAGCCATGACCTTGTATGCAAATGTCAAGGAAGCCAACACTGCTTCAGCTCTACCACCACTTGGCAGATCAGATCATAATCTGGTTTTTCTTCAGCCTTCTTACAAGCCCTGTGTACTGAGGCAGGCTGCAACCATCACCACCAGTGAGTGTCTAAAACACTGTTTTGAGTGCGCAGATTGGAATATACTGTTGGAGTCACAGGAAAATGATAAAAGCAAGGACCCTGACCTTGATAGAATGGTTGAAAGTACCACGGAATATATTAACATTTGTATGGACACTGTAATACCAGCAAGGACTGTACACTGCTTTCCAAACAACTAACCCTGGATCTACAGTAACATCAAGACCCTCCTCAACCAGAAAAAGGAAGCCTCCAGGGATGGAGACAGGGAGAAGCTCAGGTGTGTGCAGCATGAGCTGAAGAGGCGATTAAAGCAGGCAAAGGAGGACTACAAAAAGAAAGTAGAGAGGAAGCTGCAGCACAACAACACCAGAGAGGTGTGGAAGGGGATGAGGACCATCACTGGCTATAAAGAGAAGAAGAGCCAGGCAACATCAGGTGACGTGGACAAGGCCAATGAGTTCAACCTGTTCTACAACAGGTTTGACACAGCCTCACCTGTCTTCTCCCCCACTTATCAGCTGCAGCTTCTCCTACGGCATCTCCTCCGCAACCTGACACTGCAGCTGCATCTCCCTCCACACTGGGGTCAAGGCTCCTGTCCTTTACAGCGGAGGAGGTGAGGGTGGAGCTCAAGAAGCTAGGCCCTGGAAAGGCAACAGGCCTGGATGGTGTGTGTCCGAGGCTGTTAAAGGACTGTGCAGCCCAGCTTGCTGAGCCTCTCCAGAGGATCTTTAACTTAAGCCTCCAAACAGGGAGGGTCCTGGTTCTGTGGAAAGCATCATGTCTTGTTCCGGTACCTAAAGTAGAACGACCGGCTGAGATTAATGACTATAGACCAGTGGCCCTCACATCACACATCATGAAGACCCTGGAGCGGCTGTGTCTCCACCTTCTGAAGCCACAAGTTGAATATGCACTAGACCCCCTACAGTTCGCCTATAAAGAACATATTGGAGTGGATGATGCCGTCATTTACATGCTCCACTGAGCCCATTCCTACTATGTGTCATAGCCTGTTATGCCTCGGCCTCACTCTCCACTCTTCCACACCTCCTAATCAGCCTCACTGTCCTTACCTGTTGCCCCCAGCTGCACTCTATCTCCAATCAGGCCAGTATATATACATCCCCGGTTCACTCGCTCTTTGCCAGATTGTTCTCAGTATCATGCTAGACTTTCCAGCATTCATCTCCGGACTGACTTCCCGTTATCGACTCTGCTCGTCCCTGACCATCCTGCCTCGTCTTTGCCCCGGTAAATGCCTCAGCCTTCTGTCCCCGACCACGAGTTCTGCCTGTGCGCTTCCTGGTCCCCGTCTGCCTGTCCCTGTGGCTGTTTGGCGTTCTCCAGCCCCGACTGCGCAACGTGAGTGCTTCCCTGCTGGTTTCCCGATCCTTCGTCTGACTCCAATTACC